TCCTACATCACACCAGCTTTTGCGTGGATCCCTGGCCCATCGCTGGTAACGGAAGAAGAACGCGCTGCGCATCCAACAACGCACCCCGTCGGCGTCGAGCCTATGGGGTTCTTCCCGACGTCCAGCTCCACTAAAAAACGCTTTTGCTCAAGCAAGGCGATCAGACCTGCAAGATGTTCTTCCCGCTCAAACGTGAGGGAGGACGAAGTCCAGAACAGTTCAAAGCCAAACATGTGTCCACTTATCGCCTGGGCCCAATGCGGCTATAGAGGACTTGCTCCGAAGTCAGAAACATCAAAAGAAAACTCATAGGTTTTGGTTGGTGGATCATCATCGTTTGCTGCAAGAACTGTTGTAAGAGGCATGGCGGATCCTTTTCCATTTTGCGGGACTTTACGAGCTACCAGTTGCTATGACTTTGCCTGTGACGGAAATTGCAGCATCCGAATCATTCGTGGCTTGTGGCAAAGATTCGAAGGGCAGAATTGTGCCAAATTGAAAAGACTGAAGAAGTGGAAAAGAAATCGTTTTTCTAGCTATCTTTGGGGGTCAATACCAACCAGTTTGCCTGAGACACTATCGGGCCATGATGGGAGCTCTCATATCTTCCCAAGACTGTCTCAGCAGTAGTTCGACAGTCTGGGCAGATGTAAGTCAGTGGGTTACCCTGTCAAGACGCACAGTCTCGCTCTGCTCCCGGATTGCCTTGCTTGCCACAACCAACTCCTCGAAGACGCAAGCGGACCTTGGCAAAGAAACGACAATGGTTGGGTGCGCCCAACCACGTGACTGGCACTACTGGGTGATGAAAAGGTAAAATTTGAGGTAGACGGTATGATAACAAACAAAACCAGATGTTTGGCAGTTTGGCATACGGAACATGCAATCTACAAGTCCTTTCACATCTGCTTGTCTTGCCGTGCCCGTGACCGTGGCCGACCCTTTCTGCCAAGTGCCCGAGCCCTCCTCCGCACGTGGGCCGCCACCAGCTGGCCGCGGGCGACGACGTCTACGACGCGTTCAACGTCGTAAGGTGGGGAGCTGAGCTGAACGTGGGAGGAACCAGTTCGTGTGAATCTTTACTACTAAAAGTGACTGTGGACCTTTAGCCTTTGACTGTAAGTTGTAAGTGGCTTGGAGACTGCAATGGCCTTCGCTGGTGGTCTTAGGCTGGGATGCAACGGGGTGGCAAATGTCTGTGATGGTTCGACCTGAAAGTGATTTCGTTCTTCGCTCGTTTCCCAGCAAAAATGTGCAACTCCCAGCACACGGCCAGTGAAACGCGGCGTGTGTGGTTTCGCCATCATGCTCACCCTCCACCCCAACCCAGCACCTGAACGCCGACGTCCTGCATGGCACAAGGGCGTATAAGCAAAAGAATACGCAAATCGTTTTAGGAGGGCCTTCTACATCTCTTCAGCTCAAGGTCCTTTTTGGTCCAAAGAAGCGGCCCAGGGGCTTTGACGATTTCGTGGCTTGAGGTACATTGAGTCGGGACTGTTTGCGTTATCTCAGATCCAAAGGTGGCTCCCTACCAAACAATACTAGAATTTTGGCAGAGCCCTCTATTCCCTTTGGCTGCATCCCAAGTGCTTGGGGAGTCTGGATGAAGTGCTTCACTCTGCTTCGAAAGGCTGGATGGAAGAGGGGCAGACGTAGTTATTGATTCTTGTATATATCTCTTGGTTTTTGGTGTAAGAAGAGTTAGAATTGGCACGTGATTTAAGGAACACGTAGTCATGTCAATGTGGTTCAATCGCTCGGACATGTATTGCAAGTTCAAGCTCGAATTGAATTGAACCCGATCAGGGATCGTGATTTCACTTTAGATACAAGATTGCCTCTTCAGTTTCTACTCAATTCAGGGGCCACACGAGAATAAAGCACAGAAGGTTACGAGTGGAGGCTTAAAAATTCTTCAGTCAAATACTTGATTGCGAGAAGAGACTTCCAAGGTAGCCTGTCAAACTAATCCCTTGAAGGGACTGCAGGGACTGCTGCTCAGGCGAAGTGCCGCTGAAGTCTCTGCCAGGCGAAGTGCCGCTTCGCGTCTGGGCGGGGGGTCAGAACCGCCCTCCGTCCGCGGCTTCGGGGCACTGGGAGAGCGCTGGTTTCCAAAAGATGGTGAAGTGGGGTGGGGTAAAGTGGCTGATCAGAATGGCTCATCAGAAGCGCTCAGTGGCTGCAATTCCGTTGGACTGATCGTCCGAATTTCACTCGACAAGACCTGGTCGGACCATCATTCCAGTATCTCTGGCATGGCAAGTTCGGCCGATGGGTCGCGTCATTCGTTGGTTCCTCACAGGATGGGTTGCAGAATTCCTGCCCGGTATGGAGCCTCCTTCTTGTTGAATACAGGAAAACATTGCTTCAGGAGTTGAAGCGGCTTTCAAGAATACCTCACAGGCATCATGAATATAACATGTTACTAAGACGTATAAAGCCTTCTGGATGTGAAATCCACAAGTTTGCCTGGTGCTGTGGAAGAACTTCGGCGAAGTCGTTGGTGTCCAGCAATGGCTCACGTACGCATTGACATCCTAAACTGGGGGCACATCACCGCTGCATCAGCTGTTCTGACTTCAAGCATACAAACAACCCTGCAGGGAGCCCTGTGGGAGCTCGAGCAGGTCCTTGAGGTTGTTATCTGACAAGTCCAAGACGGGAACGGAAGCACCTTGGAGCACACCGTCATGCCTAGTCCCACAAGTCCCAGGATTTCTTGAGGGCTTTTGGGAGGGTTGACCACTACTTGAAGCACCAAGGGGAAAAGAACGGAACAGGAGGACCCCAGAGGTGAGCCTTTTTGCTTGTTGGCACAAGTGTCCAAGTGGATGTTATCACCCTGAACAGGATAAATAGATATTTTAGCACCTGATACACAGACCCATGACTTTCGTAGGCCACCCTCTACACAACATCATACAAAAATGGACTAAATCAATTTGAATGCCTCAGTCCAGTGTGAACCCATTCATGCTCTCCTACTGCAAGGATGTCAATTGAATCTGGAATGAGGCAACTCTAACAAGTGGAGTTGCTGAAAAGGCTCCAAGAAGAGACAAGTGCTAATGCCAATCACCAAAGAGGAACCCCCCCGAACAGTACTGTAGACGAAAGAGAAAATATGTCAACCCCCCGAAAGCTTCAAGAGCTTTCACCATCCATGTCTGGGAGGCTTTATTGTAATGATTCTACAGCAGGACCCACAACCCCTAAAGCCCCTCAACGTTAAAGCTGTGGTTCGCTCACAACCGCCGCGTCTCGCGCGCGGAACGCTTTCCGCACCTTCGTCAGCGCTTTCGGCCCCCTCCGTCGGGCGAGCCTGGTCACATGCACTGGTCGTGCTGGGCACTTCGCATGGGCTGGGGAAAATTCTGCCACATTCGGAAGGGGAAAGGGAAGGGGGCATCTTCCAAACGCAACGACGTCTGAAGAGATTGGTCAACGAGTTTCAAGATGTGTCAAGTACCTATTTAACCTATTTGAACAGGGAAGGGCGTAGCAACATGATACTCACCTTGGCCAAATTTGGGCATTCGAACTCCAAGAAAGCACGCAACACATCAAAAACACGCAAATCCCATCCCAGCGACACAGCGACAGCACGTGGAGCTCTCCCTCCTCGGAGAGAGCTCCAGCACGCGGAGCTCGTGTTTTATACCGTGGAGCTCCGCCTTCACGCGTCCCATTCTTTACAGACCCTGCTCTTTACAGCAGAGAACGAGGAGCTGAAGACTTTGTGTAGGTGGCCCCCTTGTAAGGTCCACCCTCTCTGCCCAGAAACGACAGGAGTAACTGACCCATCAAGATGTTGACCTCATCCCTTTCATATCAAAAGTATACTCCAAATTGCACTTTGAATTCAAAATGCTGTACGTAGAATTCGCTTCAACCCATCTGCTCACCACCCGCCAGTTTTCTTCGTTTCAGGCAGCGAGATTTCTAATTGGCAGATGTCTGCCATCCAAGTCCGCTGGACCGAGCAATCACTCGGCCCGGACACCAAAAGAATGTCCTGTACAAATCTGAAAGCCCAATGGCCCTGCAAAGAGTGGAATGATCTCAAGGATTTGAAGTTGAAGCTTGGCAAAGCTTGGCATTTGACATGTGCACCCTTCATTGCTAGATAGATCTGGAAACCTGGCTTGAGTGAGTCTCCAGGACGGGGATTGGCAGGTCAAAACATCATGCATCGAGCTTTAATCAGCAGACATAGCTCAAGCATCCCTCAGCCAAACTGAAATGTGAGTCTGATTCTTTCAGGTGTTTCTGTCGTAGCTATCCCACCATAGGACAATGATTCATATGGCTGTAGGTCCTGCTAGTTCATTCTTTTCATTTTTCTGTGGTCAAGTAAGGTCCCCTGGTTTTGACCCACAGCCATATCAACCTATTGACCGTAAAACAAGTGATTGAACTCCGAGCATGACCATCTCAAACTGTCCGATCTTCCCAGAGGATCATCCCTGAACGGATGTGCTTCTCACGCGAACGCACGTGCACGCCATGCCATGCCGCCTTGGAGCACAGAAAGGAAAGGAAGGGCCGCATGCCAGTCCGGCTTCAATCCTCTTCGCAACTGCGGCCAACTGGGAAGCAAAAACGCTTGGTGGGAAACCAAGGAATCAGTTCCTGGCTGTACAAAATCATCATCTTAGTCACTCTTAGTCATCTTCAGAACTGACCTCACGAGTTGGGCTCCTTCTCAAAGGCTCCAAGTTTGGAGCTCACTTACAGGCCACTTGTCAACCTCAAGTCGAGCTCCGTGAAACAGGACGAGACCGCTCCTTGCCAGGAGTGCATCGGAACTTCTGGACGTTCAGCGCAAACAGTGGGGTTCTTCCCAGCAACTCTTCCAGATCTTCAAGCTGAAATGTCCACGACGTCCTTTTCCGCGTCAACAGCCGTTTGGCACTGTCCACGTGCCATGTTCTTTGGTCAGTCTAAATACATTGGTACCGGATACTGGATACAGCTGAATTGTTGTCCAATGGTTTGCAGTTAAAAACCAAAGACACGATTTGAACGAAAGCCCAGGTTGTTCACCCGTCAAATGCCATGATTTTCGCTGCTTTGTCCAGCCCAAGATTGCCTTAGCCAGCATTTCGCTCTAGCACTGCCGCGGCTCACTCTGACTTCGCAGCTCAGTCCCCAGCAGTGCGCCTGGAGCTGGAAGGGCCCAGCCAGCTCTTTTGAACAAAAGCAAAACCACATGTTGTTCTGCGCTGCACATGGAACTGTTGACTTCACCAAGTTGTTTCGAAAGGCTTTGATGAGGGAAATCTCCTGACCTGACAACACCTTCCGAACGTGAGTCTCCAAACGAGTTGACCGTCCACCCTTCCCACATGGTGCACCCCTGATATTTTTTTTTTTCTTCGTGTCTTTTCCTGAGCTCTCCATCAGCCTTTTTGGCTGGCGAAAATCTGCGGCAAACTAGATTGGTGGTTGGTGCTGCCACAAGCTTTCTGTAATGCCTTACTGGCTTGGAAATCTTCTTTTCGACAAACCGCATGCGCTCTGCATGTAAGGCAAAACAGTTTTCCGCCTTTCCTCCACATTTTGTGGGTGGAATGCCCTGCCCACCCTTCTGTCGGGATCCATTCTCCATTCCAACAGGTCGAGGAGGCCAGACTCTCAATTTTTTCTTTTGCCGCATGACGCAAAATGCGCCCATTGCACCTTGTGCAGACCACATAGTTCGTCTGCTGAACAAACTGATGGTCTGTCATGGCCGGATGGCTTCCTTCAATCATACTTTTGACAAGGGCCGTCTTGCTCTGTGCTTCTTCTGCCTGTCCTCCCTGAATGACCAACTGCAAGGTCGCTGGGCAGTCTTCTTCTTTGATCTGCTGCAGTGCTTCACAGGTCAAATGTTTGGTGATGCGTTTGTTGCATCCTTGGCACTGCAAAGCTCTGCCCTTGGTCTGCCAAATGTGTTTGTTTTCATTCTGATTGCCCCCAATCTCCAGGAAGAGGTTGTGCTTCCTCTCTTTGGCTTTCTGTCGGTTTTGCTTTCCAGTCTCCCTTGACTGGTGGAGGTAGTGTTCCTTGGTCTCAAGCAAATGCTTGATCCTTGCAATTGCCAGGGTAGCAATTTTGTTGTACCTCTGGTCCATGAGGCGAAGTTCTTCTTCTTCTCGGATTGGTCTCAAAGACAGGGCAATCTCTTTGGCTGTCTTGCCAGCGTCTTTGGCTCTGGCTTTGAGCGTGAAAGGGCCTGGGGGCATGTCCTTGATCTGCTGGGTGGTCAGCAGGAGCGGCCGAATGCGGCTCCTCTGATCATGTGTCACCAAACTTTGCAGATCGTAGAAGGTGTCAGAGTGACGACCATGCACCCATGCCTCCCATGCTTTGCGGGATTGCAGGTGAGCCCGCACTGGAGATTGCAAATCCACGTAGTGGGATATGAGTCTGAGCCCATAGTACCAGGCACGATCACTGCACTGCTTGCCTGGCAAGATGGTGGTTACCGCTCCCTTGCGGTACAGTTCTCCATCAACCAAGGTGTGGTGCACTAGTGCCACTGCAAAATACTTCAATCGAGGGTCAGAGCTTGTAGGTGCTATGCCAAGAGTGACCACTTCGATGCCTTGGAGCCGTACTTCATCATGTAGCGTCCACGATCCCCAGCACTGGACCGCCGCCCCACCGGTGGAAAGTTCATATTTTGGCAGCTGCACCAATCCTTGGGACCAGAACTCTCTGTTGATGCCATACTCAATTTCTTGTCTGTCTGCTTGGTCCAGCGGCGGGAATGCTTTGTTGATCTCTTTGCAGGTCCAGAGCACATGTATTGCCGTGGCTTCTTGGGCACAATGTGGACACATCATTCTTTTCGTTTCTTCACCATCAGCAACCTTCGTGAAGATGGCCCCCTGATGCCATGTCTGCAAGGCTGAATACTGAGGCTTGGACAGCTGCCTAGCTAGTCTCCGCCATGGAAGCCAGTCAAGAGGTTGTTGGACTTCACTGAGTTCGGCTCTCTTGTTGACTTTGGTCACCGTCTCCCACTTGCGAGCCCTTTCTAGCTCTTCCTTGATGTGGAACCAGTCTGCATGCATGTTGAGCTTGAACTCAGGTTCCCCATTGTGTCCAGGCTTGGTCCATTCGTCATGTCGCTGGATGTTCCAGCCTCGTTTAAGAAGGTAACATTGCAAAGCTCCTACAGGACCCTTGGCGTGCTGCCAGGGGTATTGCACACTGGTGAGCTTTTCCCTGTGCACCTGCCATGCTTTGGCGAGATCTTTGACCAATTCCTCCGGCCAGTTTCCATCAAATTTGCGATAGACCTTGATCTGATCTTCAAATGCTGTCTGGTCAGGATCTTGGTGTCTTGGGTGCATGTCGAACAGGATGTCAAGGCGTCCGTTGTAGGCCCATCTGCCTGCCCATCGCTTCCTCACTTGAGGGGCCAGACCCATGGCCTGGTGACCCCAACTGATCCCGGCCATGATGCTGCCCTTGTACAACTTAAGCTGTATGGATCTGGTGGGGATCTTCAGAGTGGCGAGCTTCACAGATTTGCGGCCTGCCTTCTTTCTGCGAGCTTTCATAGTTTGCAGCCGTCGCAATCTCCCAGCTGTGCAGTCAATGCCTAAATCTCGCATCACATCATGAACCTTAGGTCCACTTTTTGGAAGCTGTTCTTGCAGGATCTTCTTCACCGTGGCATTGGAGGCAATGAATCCTGTCTTCTGTTCCGAGACTTTCAAATTGTCCTTCTCTAATTCCTGCTTGATGAACTCATAGGCAAGGAGTGCAATGCGAGCAGCATTGTGAGGATTTCTGTCGACAACATCAAAACTGAAATCATCGATCCAAAGGTCCGAGTGCAGCTGAGGATACTTCCTATGAAACTCTTTCAATGCTCTTTGAAGATACACCTTTGCTGCCAGAGGGGCTTGAGGGTCACCCGCCAAGATGCCGTTGGCAGTCCATAATGGTTGCGAGGCCTCTCCTTCTGCTTCCAAGATTCTCTGTCCAGTGTACACTTGCATGGCCAGCGCTGCATGTGTTGCAGGGTATGTGGATTCAAGCCATCTCTGAGCCAGCTTGTCCAGCGCAATCCTGTCGTAGAAGTTCGACAGGTCCAGAAGGACGGAAATGACCGAGCGCTTGTGTGTTGAATGGTATTCCGTCATGAAAGATCGCTTGAGTGCCACCTGCAAGCATTCTGTGCCCGGGACTGCTCTTTCCCATGGATATTCTTGCTGAATGTTGCTGGCCCAGCTTTTGGTGAGCTGATTGCGCAAGCGGCACCATAGCCGGTACATTGTGGAGACCAATGCTATTGGCCTTTCTATCACTTGATTTTTTGGAAGCATGGCGATCAACGAGGTTTTCCATTGGCTGGGGATCATGGCCTGTTCCTCAATGACCGCAAACAGCTCCCTTAGATCTTTCATTGCTTCTCTCGGCAGGGTCTTGAGAAAATCGAAGCCGATGCCATCTAAGCCTGGCGCTTTGATGGAAAGTGATTTGATTGTCCTCCAAATGTGCTCATCTGTCATGAAGGGCAGGTTTTTTGCCTCTTGCTGACCTTTGGTGATGAGCTTCTCCATGCATGCAATGGGTTTCGGCTGTGCTTGCAAGCTCCAGATGGCCCCCCATTGCTCAACTCGCTTAGGCATCCTTTGCACCCTGGGCAGTTCCTGGAAAGGTCTCATGAAAGGCATCTCATCTTTCTTTAAGGTTCTGAAAAGGCCTCTGCAGCCTTGTTGCGCCGCCTGAGTCAGCCATTGACGATACTCTTCTGTTTCTTTCTGAAAACTTTCTGCTTGATGAAGGTCTCGCAGTTGTCTCGCAAACTTGAGCAGGACAAAGATGTGTTCTTCGTCATGCTGGTGCCAGAGCATTTCAAAAAGCAATCTGAAGCCTTCACAGGTGAGTGGCGCATCAGGGTGCCAGTTGTCTTCTATCTTCCATCCCAGCTTCTGCAGGTGTGTTTGGAAGCGCGGCTCTCGGTTGGTCTGCTGCAGGAGCTGCTGGAGCCTGACTTCCATCTGATTCCAATAAGCCAAGCTTCCTCTTTTCCAAATCCATGGCTTGCTGGCATCATGCAGCGGCCGGTTGATGTACTGCAAGGTGAGCCCTCTACCCGTGGTTGGTTCTTCCAGCTGTTGCAAGACATATCTTTCAATACGGTGGTACATGGAGCCCATCTGCTGAGTGAGAGGGTCCGCATGCTGCTGTAACCATTGAACTCGGACTTCTTGCGGCTCTGTTTGATACCAGGTCTTCTCCGGGTTGTGGAGCTTGGGGGCCGGTCCAAACTTGGTCAATTGCTGCACCGATATGGCTTCATACTGACCTGCTAGTGAGTATTGCACCAGTGCATGCGGTTTGAATGGAACCATCCAGCTCACCTTTCCCCTCAGGTCAGCAGCTAAGTGATTTGACACCAGGGCCCAATCCAGCTCATTGCCCGAATGACAAGTTTCCTCACCCGTTGCGCAAACCTGCAGCTGCATGTGCTGGCCTATGGTGGTGGTCATGAAAGTCTCCGGCGTGACATTGAAGTCTCCGACAATGACCACTGGCTTCTGAATGCTGGTGACAAAAGCGATCAAACCAGCCCACAACTCTGCGTTTGTTGGTCCCTGGATGCCTTCTCCGCATTTGAAGTAGGCTGATATCATGAGAATCTCTGCTCCTGCAAAGGACCAAATCACCCCATACCAACCACAGCCGTCAATGATCTGCTTTTGCACAAAGTGGACATGCTGGTCCTGCGGGAAGAGCATCATGATGCCCCCATTGGTGCCACCTTTGACACTCTCAGCTGCAGCTGCGCCCATAGCACTATATCCACGGGCTGTCATCCATTGCATCATTTTGTTGTGATCATCTGGCCCCAGATGAGTTTCAACCACAAAGATTGGTACTCGGGACTTGCTGATCAGCCATTGGCGAACTTGCTGACCCACGTTGGTGATATTTGCAAACTCAAAGCTGACCCCTTCTTGATTTCGTCTCTTGGTTGGTGGTTCCTCAACCTTGTCTACCTTGCTGACATCATCATGAGGCACTGCAGCAGGCAGGAGAATCTCTGAGGGAACCGCCCACACTTGCACTATCTGCTGTTTGGTGGTCTCCGTGATCTGAGACAGGACCTTGGGGTACGACCCATCATCAACAATCCAGCTCATGCCTCGGTAGATGAAAACAGCATAAAAGTGGCCATGTTGATGTTCTGTTCCTGAGTGACAGAGATAGCCAACAATCGAATACTGACGGGTTCTAGTAGTGTTCCCGTCAAGGGTGTAGGGCAGGTTGAAAATCGACGGCACTCGGAGAGGTCGATGATGTTTGGTCCACTGTCCTTGGACCTTGGTGTATCGGCCAATCTGAGCCACCCATAGCCCTTGCACATCGAACACTTGCCCTTCTTGAGTGTTTGCCCATTCTCCAATCAGTTGTTCCAGTTCTTCCGAGCCCGCTTGATCCGGAAAGATCAAATGAACTGGGAAAGCTTTCCGGTGGTGTACTGCTTGTGAATGGTCAACTTGGTAAAAGCCCATGATGACTTTGGTGGGGTGTGCCAAACCTACCAGTTCTTGCAGAAAATGAGACGCATCATTTTGCTGCTCATCGTCAAATTTGTCCCACAGGGGCCTGAGCCCTTGCAGCGTGGTGAGTTGCACCACCTCATCATTTGCCAGAGCTTCTAAGACAGCGGATGAAGTCCTCTGCCATAGCTGTGGCCCTTCCATGAAGCTTCCAGCCCATGCCCATAGTCTGAAAGCGGAATTAGCATAGCACCGGTTGCGAGGGTTTCCCAGCCGGCACTGTAAGTTTTGAACAACATAGTCCAGCGAGCTCATCGGTCCGGTGGTCGTTGTTACTTGAAATGACTGCTCAACTTCATCTGGCACATGCTCGACGTGTTGGTCGCCAGTGCCGCCCCAAAAACCAGGAAAAGGTCCCTGGTTGTCAACAAAAGCTGCTCGCTCTTGTTGCCCCGTTTCAGCCATGGCTTGGCTGATTTGCCCCTGGCCTGAGCCAAAATCTCCACAACCATGTTTGACATCTCCAACCAACCCCGTGCTGAAGCTGTGTGGCATGGTTGCTAGCACCCCTGTTTGGTTTGAAACCATTTCATAGTTGTTACCCACACTTCCGCCTTTTTGCTGCTGTCTCAACGAGCTTCGTTGCTAGATCCTGGATCTGAGCCGATGTGGCCTGCAATCCAACACTAGCCATTGCCGTGACCAGCGCCTCAGGCGTCAAATCTTCGGCCGTCGTTTCAGCATCTTTCTGCTTTTCTTGCTCCAACTGCTGGTTGTACTGTTGCGTGGTCGACTGCAGCTCCTTCTGGGCCACCTCAATCTTCCCTTGCAGCTCTTTGAGATCTTGGAGCAACTGCGTGTATTGGATCTTAACAGCATCAACTTTTGCCTGCAGGCTGGTTTTACGCTCCGACAACTGCTTCAGCGTCCCCACTGCCTGCTTCACTTTTGATGCCATTGTGGGTTCCGGCTTCTCAGGTTCCACAATCTTTTCAACTGCTTCCTTCAGCTCAGCCGGAAGGCTCTGAAGGTGCTCCTTGATGAGGGACGGCAAATCTGGCGCCACCGGCGTTTCCACCGTTTGGAGCCCCGTTGCCGTGCACTGGTTTCTGAAGGCCTCAGGTAGTTGGTCCCAATGGTCTTTCAGGGCTTTCTGTATGTCGGCTTCTTTGCCTTTCTTGGGCGGTCTTCGTTTCTGTCCTCCCTGAAGTCCCGGTGGGGCCTCTATCAAGGCCTCTTTGTATGTCTTCTTGGGCCATTGATGGCCTGCTCCACTGTAGTTCCATGTGGCCCATTGGACTCTTCTTGTCCTTTTCAAGTCCGGTAGGCCTTCCTTCTGCCATCTTTCACCGCAGTGATTGCAGGTCATGTTGGGTCGTCCTACTAATCTATCTTCCCAAATCCAACTGGCCTTGCATTGCCCACAGACCTTATAGTGTCGCCGCATAGATCACACCTTCGGTCGTGAACTGGCCTTTGTCAAACTCAACCTTGAGGTGTCCTTGACGTACCTCTTTGCCTCCAAACCCGCAGGGCTTGGGGCTTGATGCTGAAACGGCCTTGAGCCTTGAGCCGCACCCCTGATATATATATATATATATATATGTATATATATATATATTCACAAAGCTGAGCTCATCAAGGACTGCCCACGTTCAAGCACATCTTGGTCAAAATCAAGCACGCTAAGCACGTTCAAGCACGTTCAAGCACGTTCAAGTTTAAACTTTTGCTTATCGGATGAAATCGTTTGGGCCAAAGCCTGCACTATCGAAAAACCGGATTTTGGTGTACATGTGTCGTGATTTGTCACGGCTTTTCAACACCTGACACTCTGGTAATACCAAACATTTGCGGATCCCATGGTGAGACAGGGCCGTTTATCCGTCGCCACGCCCCAGTTGAATCATTTGTCCCAGACGGCCAGGGCCTCTCACTTGCTCTTTTCACGAAGTCGCAAGGAGGAGAGGTCCACATAGACACCGATGGGGCACGGAGCGCCTCAGAGCACCAAGGCCCTCCGATGATCAAAACCTCTTGTCCTTGGTGGGTCTCCTCCCTATTGCGGGACGCACCCATGTAAACAAACTGCTGTCACGTGTTGAGGAAAAAACTGGAAAGCGTCTTACATCTATTGGGTGCCAATGGAAGAATTTTAACCAGGAGTTTTGGCTTGAAAAAGTTCTTAGCGTCTTGAATTATATATATATATATAACCTATATAAATAAGGGAAATCTGGAGAAGATTAAGACTCCGTCTTCCTCTCTTTGTGGGCCTGCAAAACAGGCCCCTCCAGCTTTGCAAAAAGCACAGCCCCAAATATCCTGACCTTACCCTGGCTTCTCAAAGTTTTGAAACAGATTATAACTTCCTACAAACACGTTGTTTTCCAGCATTTTTGGACATTGGCCTGGTCAATGACCGAGAAAAAACACCTTCCACTGAACGGCTGGTAGCTTAGTGGGTGACCATTTGTTCTGTGTGTCAAGGCACGTCCTTGTGCTGCGCGCTTCGTCTCCTCCTTCGCCTCTTTTTTCGGCGCTGGCCGGCTCTGCAGCAGCGTCGGGTTTCCACCGGTCCCCGCCGAACTGGCCGGCGCCACAGGTGCGGGCGCTGGTGCGCCGGCTGGGAGGTTGCACATGGGTTGCAGGCCCGGGTTTACAGGCAGCGCAACACCCGGTGGCATGCTCTGATAGGGCACGAAAGGAGCAGCTAAGCCCGCCTGAGAGGTTTGTGCGAAGAGAAAGTCGAAGTCTATTGAGGAGCGCCGAAGACCACTCAAACAGCTTGTAGTCTGACAAACAATGAACATCAAAGCGTGTTCTTCTTTGCTGGGCCATCAAAGCATTGTATTTCTGCAACACAGCCACATGGTACACGTAAAGGGTGGCGCTTACTTTGCCCCAGCGAACTTAGGCTTCAAGAAACGATCTTCACCCAGACCCTTCTGCCCTCGCCTGCAGGCAAACCTGCTGCGGCCTCACCTGCTTGGGATGTGGCGACGACGCCGGCGACGCGGCAGCGCCCCCCGTGCCCGGCGCGGCACTGCTGGCAGCGGTGCTCACCGGAGCGGGACCCGTGGCGTGCGCGGCGCCGAAGAATGATGGAGGATGCTGAGGCCCGTCGAAGTAGGCCGACATGGGCGACCTGGACGAATGAGAAGAGGGGGAGACGGTGACCCGTCAAATGATCTGGAGCTGTTGATGTGACGTGCCTGCCTTGATCTCTTGCATCTTACGGAACTTCACAACGACCGAACCCAGCGCGGTTCCTTTCTATCCGGATCCACCGTTGGAAAACCCGTCAGGTCCGGTGGTCATCTACACTCTCAACAGACCTCCAAAGGCTCGCCGGGTCCAATCCGAACAAAAGCATTGTTCTCCAGGCGGCAGGACAGAGGACTGCTGTGGCACAGCATTTGGGTTGAAGAAGGCCTGACAACAAAAATGCTGTGCCCATGCGGCTTGAAGTGGCTTCTGAAGATCCCGCTCACTGAAACTGCATTGTTCGTGGGACTTGGACACACAAAGCGGTACAGTCATTGGAGAAGACGGAGACGCACACCACTACAGAGATACCACTACACAAGTCTCTGAAGCACCAAAAAGCACTCCGAAGTTAAAGAAAAATTTAATGTTTTGTAAATATAGAACGGAATTTTGGCAGAATCGATTCTCGTGCCTCCTGATCTTCAGGTAGCACCGCCCTGTTCAAGTTTAAGGTTGTCCTGTCATCGGTTGGGAGAGAGAAAGAGAGCTCTTGATGATCGATTTCGATCCAACATCGTGAGCTGGCCACTCCTCTCGAAACAGGAACAAAACGGGTTTGAGGAGAAGAGCCAACGATGGTCGAAGTTCCAGGTGAGACCGACGTGTTTGATAGCAGCTCTCTGCATTGAACACCTCAGGTCCGTCTCAAGAGAGTGACAACCCTTTTTGTGCTCTCTGAATCACACATGACAGCTGACCTTCTACCTTCCGAAATTCATCTGTAGAAGCTGGACTAAAGAGCAAGAGATAGCTCTTAGCTTAATATCTAGGACCTTAGGATTGGGGATGGGGCTGTGGAATCCAGATCCATCATTCCAGTGAACTTCTTCGTGAAGGAATGATACTAGCTGTATACGGACCCAGCCAAATCCGTGATGCTAGCTTTGTATAGCTGGATATCGTTGATTCTTGTCCTTCTTCTGCTGGATTCTTCTTCCCTTGTCACTACATGATGATCTTGAAGCCTTCTGGTCTCTGAACCAGAGCTGTTTGTCCATCGGAATATCTGTCTGAGATGAAAGGCAGAATGTGCCTGGAAACTGGTTGCTAGGCCTGCCCTACGGAGCAAAGGTGCCTGTTGGTCTAATTGCTCCGAAAACCAAGGGCAAATGCTCTTTGGGGACCCTTCTGCTCCCGGCCATACCCGACCATCCCTGTCCCAGTCGCTCCTCTGTTGCATGGCGCGAAACGGAAAAAAGGGGCCCCCTTTGAGCCTTTTGGGCTGATTAACTTTGGGAAGCTGACAGCCCAGGCGGCGAGTGGCGACAAAGAGAAGGCCCAGACGGAGCGAAGCCGTCCAGCACCGCTTATTGCTGCAGAATTGCCATCACTTGTTCAAGATTCAATTATCCATGTGTGTGTGTGCCTTTTTCAAATGTGCCGTTCGCTTCAGAAAGCAGAAGATTTTCGGCTGCTACTTGTCTGGATCAACAGCAAACCTCCAAAACTTCTAACAACCTTTTGAGGCCCAGGGTCATTGGAAAAGGCACACAGAGTCGTCTTAGCCCCTGCAAGAAACCTTGCCTCTTCCGGTCTTCGGCCGTGCCCAAGGGGGAAAGTCTGATGTCTCAAAATAGGGAATGGAAGTCCTCATCGCTTCAAGATCACCAAGACACCTCTCACTTACAGGGTCAGCACACTAGCAACTCACAAACAGCCTGAGAGAGGAATGCTTTAGCAAGCTCTCCGGCCGCACCGTCGGTCAAGGAATTGCCTCAGTCGAAAGTGAAAAAGAGCAGGAAAATAAGCTGATGGAAGATCAGGTCGTGAACGATTCCGGCCTGGTACATTGAATGCATTGGCTGAGTCGGATCTCTTTGATCCAAAGGAGACCGATTCGTTGAGCCAAAACAAGGGTGCCCCAAGGAGACAACGTCGTCCGGGCACCGTTTGGACCCATCGGATCCGATGGAAGCAAGTCCCCTCGCTTCGGATCCTCGAAGGGGAGTCATACATGGGGGGGGACGCGAAGCGTGCGCAGCCGGGTTTGACCCGCGGGGAAAGACTCGTGCCAAAATCACCTACCAATACTACGTGACTACTATGGACGCATCTGTAAAGCAAAACAAACATGGGCAACATCAGGTCCAAAGGTAGTACAGTAGAATTGATGTTATAGGTTAATGTTTAGTGTATTCATTATTGTATTTGGCAATGTCCGCACAATATTTATCAGAAAAGACCATAGTGTCCGCAGAATTTCAAGCATCCACAATCCACAAAGTCTTTGCGACACAGGCTGCAAAGCTACCAAAAGGCAATGATGATAACGCCGCGCTCTCCAAATCAACTCTCTCTGACAAGCGGTCACTGATCCTGTCCAGCCCACTCAGAAGAGTCACTTGGGGGAACAACTCTTCTTGAAATCCTGTGCAATCTTAGGGAGAATATCAGGCCGTTAAAAACACTGAGAACCGTGGCACTCAAGCGATCCATCGCGTGATTCCCCGATCCCTCCGGACCGGGAGCACCGACCACTAAGGTCGAGATGGGTGATTTCCTGGCTTTCGTGCATTGGCGCGGCCATCCTAGTCAAGCCGCATTGTTAAAGTAGAATTTCCATGAGTCTTATGCGGCATGGAGATTTCCGCATGATTCTACCTATATAGATTGAAATCCAATGCAAAAGCACAGCATTATATCTTACATCGATTCAATCGACGAAACCTGATCCGGCCTGTTGCAACCATGGCATCACCTTCGCAAGTGTACTGGCACCTCCGAATGCAGGTGGACACGAGAACGTCACCACAGTAGGAAACCTCATTTGACTTCCAGCCAGGATGGTTGGAGCTCTTTTTCCTCAAAATGAGGAGGGTTCAAAGGGGCACTCTCCAGTGGTCGCAAGTAAAGTGCATGAACACTGTTGAAAATTTTGACAAAAACACCACAATGAATTCGCACTCCCTTTCGGCACAAGCCATATAACAGCTTCAAAAAGAGCAGTTTGTCGCCGCAAATCAAAGACTCATCTACGAGGAAACAACATCCACCGCTAACTCTAGGTAGGACTCATTTTTGCTGTTGAATGTAAGAATCCACAAACCTGAAATTGGATCCATCCACCATGAAGATCCATTGAGTTGACCTGAAAAGCGAAAGATGACCTCAGATTCTTGTGACGCAGGAAAACCAGGTACATTTGGCCCCAACAAATGAGAAAAGACCTCTTGTGGCTGCAAATGTTTGAGCCCACATTTTTCTCCTCTGATCACAATTCCAAGGTGAATGATGGGTCCACTCTGGCCCCTAAAGGAGCCCCCCAAAAAGTGCCTCGGACCCTGCCACACACTCCATGCATGTCTGGTCTTCACTAGCAACAACATGTCTTTGATCAACTTTCCAGAGCCGTGGGATTTGGCAAAGTCTGTGTACAGAGGTGGGCGCATCTGAACGGACCAGTGACCAAAAAGAAAGGCTCCTCCCACAACTCGTTTCTGGAACGCGGATTCTTGAATCAGGGTTCCGGCCTTGAATCAGCAAGATACTTGAATCAGCACGGAATCCGCAAACCTCGAGGATTCTGGCCTTCATCGCGGATCTCATTGTTGGAGAGAATCAGCGTGTGGAGGAGCCTTCGGCCATGTGGAGGAGATCTCACAACCCTTAAGAGACTGTTGAGAAGTTCCAAATATTCACCCTTGACTACATTGATTCTGAGAGACTTTGGGATGTGGACTCGCAGGTGCAACTGTGAACTCATCGTTTCTTGTAGATATCTTGTGGTTGAGAGTTGCAGCCATCAGTGGCTTAGATAGTCTTCACCCAATCTCTAAATCTAATCTACCTGAGCCTGACGCAGGCAATTCCAATAATCCATGTAGCACAATGTGTTGGTCGTAAGCCCCTCCGACACAAGGACTTCCAAGAAGACTTTGGCTCTTCCCAGGGAAGTGGTGACGCTCTCTCTCTCTCTCGCGCGCGCGCTCATCAAGCAAACATCCCTCGTGCAGTAGAACCTGCACTGCAGCGTGATGCTGGCTAACCTCAGCAAACATAGTTCGGCAGCCCTACAGGGCGGCTCTACAAAATGGATGGTAGGTCCAGAAAGGGGACTGGTTGCAAAGAACTCAAGGCTGCTGGGACGCATGCGTGGCTGCCCACGCATGCACCCTTTCAACCACCCCCGACGAAGCCCTAAACCACCTTGGGCCGCAAAGACCCAAACCCAACGAGATGGGTTCCAGGGATCCTCAACGAGCAGACAAAAGCGCCGAACGTTTCGGTGCTCGAGCGAACATTGCAGCCAAGGAAAATGTTCTTCGCTTCATAAGGAGGGGAGCCCCAAAAATTAGGGCCACAATGAACCAGAAAGGTAAGCCACTAGTTGAAGACCACATACAACTTGGCATGGGGCCATGAGAATGTCAAGCTATCCTGGGCACCCTCGTTGAGCGATTTCTAGGTGGTTGGGGGTTTTCAGGAATCTAAAATGAACTTGGCTAGATCCCTTTCTTGGATTCCAGCGGATTGATGAGACACCCAACATCGCTTGATTGTTGAACACGTTTTCCCAAGAGAAAAACAAGTGGACTCCGGAGTGGGTCACCGAAGTCTTTCTTGTTCAGCATCCAGGATAAAAAAACTGGGAGCAAGTCTGGGTGTTTCCTGCGAAGATGACTCGGAAGGAATCCCATGATGACTCGGTATGGAGGGATGTGCCCAACTCGTCCCAACACACCAATTGCTTCACCCCGGTGTAGATGAGATTCAAGAGAAAGACTGGTCAAATTCAACGACCAAATCCGTTCAAGGCCAAGTCCTGAGGCCACTGGCAACTGGGCAGTCTCTGTATTAATCTTCTTGGAGGCCAGCTCGATGCTGGTACACCTGCACACATCGGCACTGCCTTTGCTGAAAGAAGGAAGCTTCAGCAAGGGAGGTGTTCAGCAAGAGAGTGCACCTCTAAAAAAGTCCTGTGTGCGAGAAGAACCCAATCAACCAAAGCCACAGTGAATCACCTTTAGCCCCACATCGTCACATGATTCGGTTTTGAAGAAAAAGAAGAATCAGTTTTGCAGTGTTGCAGGCTTAGCACCTCCGGTGCAGCTCAGTGTTGAACTGCCATTCCAGCACAGTCTCGATGTCCAGCTCCTCACAGCACAGGGCCGGCGCAGTGCGGCGCTTTTTGTGGTGCTTGGAGGAAGGAGTCGCCAGCCAGGACGGAAAACGGGAGCAGAGTGGACCTCCAAAGCTTGCCTTCCAACCAGAAAGCCCTTGGGCTGTTGGTCAGCTGCAATTTGTGGCACGAGTGGCATGAAAGAAAATATAGAGCATGGTAAGTTCCCCAAAGTGCACTGGCACTTCAGCAAGCCCAGTAATTCCGTCAGCCAACCCTCATGTCAGCCACATAAATGGGGGGTGTGAGTGTGATGTCTTTGTCTTTACCTAAGTCGCCCAGGAAACCAAGCTCTGTAGAGGGGGCAGCCAAAATGTGGTGTCCATGTTCCTTTCAGGACTAGCTGCGGAGCATCCGTCGGACCGCATGAGATCTGATCGAAACCCTCTCAGTGGCCAAACACCATCGGATCCCTTCCAAGGTCGACGGTGACTCTGCTCAGGACTCGTTGTTTTGCCCCCTCAAACTTTGGGGCAGACTACGATTCCCCCTCAATAACACTGCAACAAGGATATCAGGCGATTCAAACTTTGACATTTGTTTGGGCAGTGGGATGACAAAGATCATGTATGTGTATATTGAGACACGTTCTCTGTCAAGTATTCTGTATATATATATACATACGTTTTTTGGTTAGTATGCTTCAACAATGACCAATGTACTCCTCCTCCTCCTGCTTCTTCTTCTTCTTCCTCTTCTTCTTCCTCTTCTTCTTCCTCTTCTTCTTCTTCTTCTGCTTCTGCTTCTTCGTATTATTATTACTATTATTATTATTCCTTTTCCTATTATTCTGCCTTTTCTTATTATTGTTCCTTTTCTTATTATGTTCCTTCTTATTATTGTTATTATTCTTATTATTATTATTCGTCCTTTTCTGGTTATTATTATTATTGTTATTATTATTATTCTTCCTCTTCCTCTTCCTCTTCCTCTTCGTCTTCTTCTTCTTCTTCCTCTTCTTCGTCTTCTTCTTCGCCGTCGTCTTCTTCTTCCACCGCACAATTACTCCTCCTCCTCCTGCTGCTGGAAGGAATCCTTCACATCCTTCACCTCTGGGCTACGGCTACGGGCCACTACTTACAGGGTTGCAGGATGCTAGGTGGTGGAGGACAAATCAACGGTAGAGAATCCTCACAGCGCCCAGCCTCTTCCCCATACCGCAAGGCATAGGACGAGAAGGCCTCACAGCCACACGACACGATCACTGCGTGTCAAACTCCTGATACCTCCAGTGGTTTAGTTTCGTAGTATCGACTTGAGACAAAAAGACAAAGGGGACTTGGGCCTGTGTCTATGAGGCCCTGTCGAGGACTCGTTTGTTGATCGTTGCAAGCAGCGCATCAAGACTCACTGCGCTCCCTAGCCTATACTTCTGCTGCAAACATCAGCAAACATCACCGAAGAGGTTTTATACCACCGATCCTCACATTGAGAATACACGTCCAACCCAACGGGATTGAGCTTAGAGCGAGAAAGAAACTCAGTGTTTGCCAGCGCTGGCGCCCACAGCTTTGTTTTCTTTATAGTACCCAGTAGCTACCTTCT